ACGCTCTTTAGATCGATTGCTCCTCGCCTTTCGCGGATTCTCGTCTCTCTTTATTCAATGATAAAATATCTATTCAATGAGAAATCAATATTATCTTGAAATTCTCCACATTTGTACATTTTCATTGTTTGGTACACTTTAAGATTGTCGATTGTCAAAAGCGTTTGATTTAGAATCTTTTTGAGTAAATTTTTAAGTCAATTTTAAATTAACTAAGTTATAACTCAGAAATTCTCATCCAAAAGATTTACAACTTTTTATAGAATAATTTACATAATAATTTGAAGCAAAACAACGGAGAGAAATAATTTATTTCGGTGTAACAAGTAATTTTGTAATTCGTAATGCAAAAAATTGTTGCAAATCGTAGTTAGAAAATATTAGGCGCGTGATGTGTAATAAATAAAATATACTTTCGACAATATGCATCAATAAAAAATTTCAATTGCAAGTATATAACAGGACTATAAGAGGAAAATCATTTTATTTGACAAATTTGTTGCATCTAATGTACTGATATTAGTGTCAACCTTACTATTTATGTCATTTATGTCGTTGCAGTTTGTATTTCTCTACTTGCTTGTCAGATCCATTCCATTTGCAGAAACTTAAACGAGAACGAACGTGGCTAGCAAGATGGTGTAAAACGCGATCGATCATCGCGTCGTCTATTCCCGACGCTCGAATCCGTAAATAATAAAGATCCGACGAAAGAGCGGAGGAGCAAGGGAAGTCATCGATATCGCCGGAAGAGCAAGTATTTTATACTATTTTATAACTGTGTGAGTCTTGTTTGACGGAGAGAGGTGAAACTTGGGAAATGTAAGGAGAAATCATTGAATGATCGTCCAATCAATCGATATGTATGAATCGATTCGTCAGACAGTATTGTCTACGTATGTAAACAGTCTAGGAGAAATCGAGGAGAGGCACAAAGAAACGACAATAAAGAGAAAGATTCGTTTTTCTCTCGTTTCCATCGCCTCGAAAGGGTCTCGTCGGCTGAGGATATTATCTAATGTCTAAAAAAAAAATCAACGAGTGCGTGAGTGAACGTGTAACGTGAATGTATAGCGAACGCGAAAAGAACGAACAAGTTGTTGGATAAAATTAAAAGGCGTGAGAAAGCGTGAACGATTAAAGACAAATAATACAGAGGAGCAAGAAACATATATACATAATAACGATTCTTGTGACGTAAGTATACATTATGTAATAAACCAAAAATTTGTTTATAATAAATTTCAAATCATGCTGCGGCTTTTTAAAGCAGAAACGACTAGACCGATTCCTGCTTCGTCCTCATTTAACAGATTATTGCTATGCATCGGTTATACAGCAGCATACATACACATATATGTATATATGTACACACATGTACACGTGTCTCTATATGTGCTCTCTACTAAAGAATCTCGATAAAACGTGGAAGCAGAAATGGGTCATCCGGCTTGGGTAACCTTACCGATTCGTCGATCAGACTGCTGTTAGTTGCGCTTTAGCATCTCCTTCCAGTGTACGTGCCTATTTCTCATCCTGCGACACGAGAGAAAGAGAGAAAGAAAGAAGAAGAGAGGAATGGTAGGAAGAAAGAGAGGAATGGTAGGAAGAAAGAGAGGAATGGTAGGAAGAAAGAGGGGAGGGGGAGGGGAGGGAGAGAGACTACGACATCAAGTGACAATTGTTCTGTAGAATGACTTCGTGAAGATATGCTTCCATGATTTGAAAAATTAAACAATTCGAGCAAGCAGCAATTGATACCTATCACACTTTCAATTTATATGATGTTATACGATTTGTAATTAATACATCCATATTAATGCTTTTTTTAATCTACAATTCTGAGATAAAACTTATATTATTCTCTGATTATATTTATTCTCTGATTTTTTTCTCTATTTTCATTCAGATCACAATGCGGCAGGTGATGCTTTGATATCGAGTATAAACATAGATCATTGAAAAATTCTGCAAAATGTCGGTTGACAAAAGTTTGGTGCGGTGAAATAATTCTTGAATAAAGAGATGTTAACAAAAGCTATCGTGACTGTATCTTATTCTAATCATGATTTGATAAATTCAATTATAAAATTCTATTATAAAATGTAAAGCAAATTTAATTCGATTAAAGCTTATTTGCATTTCAACAAACTTAATTGTCACCTCTTCAAGCACACCATTCTCACAGTTCATTATTTCACACGTGAGATTGAAAGATTAAATTCAAAAAGCATACGATTTATATAACAGGAGAAGAATTTCTCATATTGAGATGAAAAAAATAATAAATTTTTAAAAGTTTCACATCCGGAAGATCGGAATTCGCGATAACCTCTCCGAAACACATTTCTGTTGCAAAACATTTCGAATAAATATATTTCAAGGACAATGGCAAATATTCGATACTTTTAAGAAAAATATCGTTGCAATCCCATGTTTTACTTTTCTTCAATTCACATTCATTACCTTCATCTGACGTAATCAATAGCAATCGTAATAAAAACTAGATGAATTCATTTTCGTGGCTAAATAAAAGGTTATTTACTTATCACCAAACGATTCTTCTCTACCGCTATACTTTTCTTTTGGTGCATTTAAGAATAATTTCACTAACTTTGAAATCTATAAGCATAGAGAGAGTGAGATTCAAAGATATCGAGAGATTTGTCTTTAAATTCATAGGCTTCAAAAATAATTTACATTCCATAAATACTATTATTCATAAAGTTTAAACACACAATCGTCCTAAATTTTTATCTCGAGAATATAATTAAAAAAAATTCCTTGACAGTGTAGAGCCGCAAAGAATTAAAAAGTAAGACATGAAGACCCAGTTTACCCTGCATTTCATTTCAACATCGAATTAAAATCCTGAATTTACCTTGGGCCCCTTGAAGAAGAACCGCGGCAATTCCGAGGGGGTTGCCCGTATTCTGAATCTGGGCTTGGACCTGGGCCTGAATCTGGGTCTGGTTCTGATTCGGGGCCTGTTTGTTCGCCATGGTTGTGGCCGCGCCGACCATCCTGGAGAACGCGGACATTGTCGCGGGGCTGCTCGGAGGTGTACCTTGATGGGACGAGCCAAGAGCTTTTGTTTTGGAGGGAGATTTTTTTTTTTTTTTTTTTTTTTTTTGGAGGGGGCACCAATCAGTAACAACACGGGTGAAAAAACGGAAATGATCACAAAGCGCAAAAGGCAAGAAGCAAATTCTGCGAAGCGACTGTTGTCGCAACGCGCCATCTAATTATTTGAATCTTGATGATATCAAGAATAATGTGCGAAGAAAGAAATCTTGAATATCGATCAATTATTACAAAGGGCGCGTTCGAAACAATGTGAAGTCACGAAGCCACACTCCACTAATTGGATCAAGTCATATAATGTTATTATTATCGAGCTAATTTGTGTTAATTGTAAACAGGTTAACATGTTTATTGAGCATTATTGAGCAACATTAGTCTGGCAAACATAATGCTAAAATTAGTTCCCGAGAAATCTCAGAACCAGACAGAAATATAGAATTGGTGAAATAGGGAAATATTAGCAGAATTAGTTAAAAAGAATTTGTTCAAAGAATTAAAGAAGAAATTTTAATTTCATCGGGATCATTGCGTGTCATAGATTATAGGGAAAAAGAGAGAGAAAGAGAGTAAGAGACAAAGGAACGGCGTCAATTATTTGCCATGATCTTACAAATGGAATAATGTGATCCCACGCAAATTTTCGTTCAAATTTGCGTCCTATAGACAAAATTTATTCTTGAAACAGAAACCTAGAAGCGCGTTTGTATATGTAATCGTGCATATATAATCCGACTATATGTAGCGTTTAGCCATAATGAAAGTTCATTTTGCATAAGATATTGTTACAGTTTGCAATTAATATAGAACATTAACGATCGGTATACAAAACATTTCCGCAGATTCTCGTATTTTGTTAATAAATTCTTTGACTATTCAGAATAGAGATTTTCTTAAAATTATGTAGTTGCTAAAGAATCAATTATTCAAGATTTAAATTTGAAGATAAACGTAAATTTATTTTTAAGATGACTTTGACAAAAGTTTAATTCAAGGATACAAAGATATTTAAAGTTAAATCTCTTTCAAGTCGACACTTCTTTCCCTCCCCCCCCTAACAGAGAGAAATCAATTTAATATTTAATTGATGAAAGATTGATAAACATAATCCGCAAAACGAGCTCAAAATATACTAAAGAAATTCAGACTCACATCGTGAAAAATTATTGTAATTATAATAAAATTAAGTTCGATATTTGTTCTAAGAAATAAATAATACTTACAAAAGTGATTATTTTTACTAAATTATTCCAAACTAAATTCTAAAGAAAAAATTCATCGAGAAATATTTTTATTATCAATTTCCTGAATTAAGCTAATATAAGAGTAAAATATAATTGTGCGTAACAAAATTACAAGGAAGAACAGAACTCTCCAGAAACTCACCGTAATTCTCTGTGTATTTGGACGAGCTGGGTATGGTATTAGCCATCACGATTATGTTCTGCGCGGTAATTTTCCAAAATTAAATTATACGCGAACGGCACACAATGTTATTGTAATAGTGGCACAATATCAAATGCAAAAATTGTTTATTTACAAGGAAACGAAAGTAAATCCTTTTGGTAACACCAGAATATTTGTGAAATATTTGTGAAATAATTGACACTCAAAATCGACAGAGCCGAGCTTGTCGAGCTTGTCGAGCGACTCGATTCACTTGCGAGGTGGGTCGAACGTACATACAACGACGTTTTGAACCGCTGCCGATCTATTTTCAAGTAATGCCAAGCGGCCAGGTATTTTTGTTGACAGTACGTCTGAGGAGTGCGCGAGGCGGAGCGAAATCACGACGCTTTCCGTAGAGAAATTCGCCGACCAGACGAAAAAAATGAGAAACAATGCGTATATGTGTACATTGTTAGTAACTAGTTAAAATTTCTCTCGAGTTCTTTGACAACGAAAACGAAATTTCGAAACGACAGCCTCGTATTATGTGAAAAAGGTTACGTAATGCAGTGTAAATTTTCAAGTGCAGAGAAATCAAGATATGTATATTATATTCTGGAAATAGTATCTACGCTAATATAACGAATTGCTTACGTATTTTTTCTTATTGATCGAAGTAAGTAACGTGTGAAATATTAATTATTGTGTACTGATGGAAATAAGATGATAATTATCATTGCAGCGATTTATGGATCAACCTTTGTATTTACTGCGTGGTTAATTTTACATAGGCTTAAACTATCCACGTTGAGCTTACACTTGAGTAAACTCCCTGCGTTAGTTAGTTTGAATTATAAATCGAGTTAATTATAACTTTCGAGTTAATTACCACTGTGCACTGTAGCGGCGCCTTCATGCCGCTCTCATTATGACATAGTTGTAACTAATTTGGCGGCAAAGACTTCATTATATACATTTATATGCTCGTAAAACATCGACAATTATTGTTAATATTAGCTCATTATTTTATTATATTTAGTTTTTATTTTAGTTAATTATATCTGAATTTTTATTCCTATTCTATTTAATTGCGATTATAAATATCAATGACACAACTTGTTTACGCGGTTTGATTATAGATAAGATTCTCCAATAAAAGAAGAAAAACAATCAAATTTAAATATATGTAATTTATAATTATTAAATATATGTAACTTAGAACTACAAAGATGTAAGAATAATTATAGGTAAAGTAAAAAATATTACGTATATTTTATATTCTCTTTTTTCCGAAGAGATCTTTCCTTGCTTTATGATTTATATTCTTTTGATTATAAGCAAGAAGAAATTAGGAGAGTTAGTGAAATGAAATTAATAATAGTAATGTGTGTGGAACACTGGAATTAATAAATTAATTGCCGCATCACGATCCAATTAGACACAGACATTTAAATAAATTGTTTCAAAGGATACGTCGTTCTGTCACGTAACGCATTTCATGGGATTCGATGATCAGTTTGATCGACGTCAATCACAATGATTTATCAAACAACAATCTCTAACTACACTCGCATTAACTATGAGATGCTATGAATTTCGCTATTGTGAAGCGTATCGAGAGAAGGCTCAGGAGGATCCTCAGTTAAGATTACGGGATTAATTTTAAATTGATTAGAAGGGGAACTCACACGTACATAAGAGGAAAAAGAAAGCAAAAAAGAGACGAAGTTATCCAAAATGTTAGTTGACGAGACGAAAGGAGAGACGGTAAATCCGCCGTACAATTTCGCAGAAGCGGCAACAGAAAGGGTGCAAAAGCTCGGGCTCGAAACTGGACACGGAGCCTCTCATGAAATTGGCCCTCTCCCAACCGCGATGATACTTTAATTATCCTTTCTCTGTTAATATCTCGCGGCTAAGTGTGGATATTACATCGAGATAATTTTACGCATCGTGGTCGATTTATGAACGCTCTGGAAACTGAAACCGATCGTTTCTGTTCGGACGCAAAGAAATGAAATGCTCTTTCATAAATTCCTCTTTATTAACGCGGTTAAAGATTTACGATATTGTGCACGTTCAAGAGATCACACCATTTCGAATTAAGCCGCTTCGATTTAAAAAATCTCGGTACAATCGCGTTAATTCCTTAACATGTGATTTTTGTTAGAATCCAAGCGATCATGTAAATTGTCATTTTTTAAAATTTGGTATGCAATTTTAGTTTGATGTAAATATACTTACAAAATATGTTACTTACAAGTCGCGCTTGCGATTACATAAATATAAAAAATATACATGTTGAAATAAATTAAAAATTCTGTTATATCTTGCATAGAGTATTTCAAGAATAATATGTTACAAAATTTATTAATTAATAATTGCCGCAACAACAGTTAGATGGCTTTAAATTAAACATAATCCCTTAATATCACTCTGAATTAAACAAACATTTGTGTAAATAACAAGAACAATCCGTCTATCAGCAAAACAAAGATAATTTTCATTTTGCTCGTTTTGAACTTATACAACTTCATCGATTATTACTCAGAAACATGTCAGCTGCGACAAAGTAGGATTATCTTTCCACATGTTCGCTTGGACAAAGTGCCGTATGGGTTTGATAATACATGAAATATATCACGGAAGTACGAATTTTATCTAGAAAAAGAAACATTCGTCCCCGATGCGTGATAATATACAATTGCGTTTGTCTTGATAAAAACACGATAAAAAAGTTCAGTCAATGTCATACAAACGAGAGAACATTACGCAAATATTATATGTATGCGCAATAAGATAAAAATTACAATGATAATTATAGTATCGTAAAATCACAAAATCAATTAAGCGCGGATGGGAGAGGCCAGTGCAATCGCGCGACGTTTACAAAGTAATGCACAATAGATACGTTATACGTATATACGTTATATATCTCGTCTCGAAAATTGGTTTTACCTTCGGGTTCTTTGGCAATGACCGTGCTGCTCCGGTCGACGCCGCCCTTCTTATCCTCTGTACAACATACACACATACATCACGTATACGAAAAATGTACGAACAATTTATATCATTACATAACGCTTAAGATATTTATATGGAATATCGATAAAGCCACGTCGCATGATGAGAAGCTAAGCTTATTTCCCTCGATTTATCTAATAATGACACATAAATCATAAATATCACTTTCTTCATCAAAAGAATACATTGTAGAAGAGTGAAGCTTAAAAACAAACAAATGTTAAAAAAATTTTATTATTAACTTCACAAATGTGAATCACTTCTTTTTCTAATTAGTACATCATACGCAAAAATAATTTTTTTCTGCTCGACAATCGTAAGAAAGGAAAAATTTGTTTTATAATTGATATTAATGAATTATAATAGAAATATTCGATGAATAAAGTTATGGGAAAATCAATCAATCAATCAATCATCGTTATACAAGTAAATATAAGATGTACAAACAGTACAATAGATGATGATAGATTTAGAAGCGATACACAAAAATCAGTTTTATTTTTCTGCCACGTATTCGTTTTGTGGCAAAATGAAGAGTCTTGTTTGATAATTGCACCAATTAAACTTAGATTCTTACGTAGGTAAATGGTCGAATTCCACGATATTAACATTCATTGTGTATTCGACATTATTAATAATAAATAATGATTACTAAGCAACACAGACAGATATATGAAACGACGTAATTAGCAAATATAAAATATCGCCATTTATAATAGCACAATAATTATATATATTATATATAATTATACAAAACAGACATTCAGTGTAGAGTAATAATAAATCTGAACCTTTCATCGTCGATTATAAAAACATAAAATATAAAATTTCTTCGATAAAGGAGCAACGCTCTCAGTAAAGAATCGTCAAGAGACCAAAAGGATATCTACTCGAGTTTACCAAACTCTCAGTAATATGCTTTTATGTCTTTGTACAGAATTTCCATGTAGATATTTTCACCTGACCACTTTAAATTTCAAAGCGTCCGTACAAAAATAAAGAATATCGTTACACCCCCGTGACATTTTTGCTATTTAGTTAACAATTTCTCATAAGTAATAGCAACATTTACGATAATATCATCGTGCTTTTATTATCTACATAATTATCTACTATTTAATAATTTAAAAATTATCGTGTAATGAAAGAAAAATTATCAAGAAAAATTATCTCGTATAAAGGAAGAAGTCATTACTTTGAGCCAACTATTAACCGTGCAAATTAATGGCAATCGATTTCTTTCGTACAACGCCACGACTACTAATGAAAAACACTTGTTATCATAAATTAAGTGATGATGCTTAATATAATAACGACGAGGGCGTAACGAAATAAAGTATCGTTTGTGACCGACGAAAATGTAACGATCATGATTAAAATATTTTCTTTTTCTTTCTTCTTTTCATTTATGGGAACTGTGAAGACGAGTGGTGCCGTTACCATCGAACTATATGTATATAAAAAAGAACGGTCGTCAAATAGAAAAAAAGATCGGAATACAATCGATTGATAATCGGGATAGTGCTGGAGAGTACACTTTGCATTAAGAACGTGCACACGTCGATAAAAACACGTATCGATCGTATCTCGAGTAGTAGGGAAGTAAAAAAAGAAATTGTAATGCGTGCAGATCGAGCCGATCGTACGGTTTCAATGCTTCGGTCGCGATATTTGATCAATTATTTAGCAAAAAATTACTGGAAATACTATGATAGAATTACTTAGTTATTATAAAAATTTACTAATAAGATTTCAGAAGTATAAAATATTCTGCGTTTAAAATTTTTCATATCCATAAAATTTTAAATTATTAAAAATTAAAATTTTTAAGCTTGGAAATACGATAATATGATATATAAATTAATCGTTTTATTTCCTCAGTGTAAATCAAATTTTACGTTTCTCCGGAATTATTTAAACGTAATAATTTACCAAATTTTCTTGATGTATCTATGTGTAGTCATATTGTCTCACTAATTAATATAAAAAAAAAAAACAAATTGATAAATACATCGAATTATTTAGTCTGTAATAAAAATTACATTAACAAATTTTTCTATAACATTAAATTGTGATTCTTCT